TTTGAAACAACAGAAACTAACACATAATAACGATAATCAAATCTGTGTTTGAAGTTCGAAAGTAGTTGCGTTATTTCCGGTTTCAACTAGTTCGAAAATAGAACGTCTTTGAGCGCAATAAAATCACGCGTAGAACTCCATCCGAACCAGACTCTAGCAGTGTAAACTTATTGCAATTTGCGCAATTTGGGCCCAGTTTGTTCTTATAAGTTTTCTAAGTTTCATTTATCATTATTTAGTAAACAGGTCTCTGAAAAGATTTAATATATCCGTAAAATACGTGGCAATCGACAATTGACTTCGAAACGTTCGAAATTTCAAACAAATTCCTGGCACACCTTGCGCGATATGCGTCAGATCGGTGTAGAAGACGCCGAACTGCAGCGTCAATGGTCGTACATGGGACAATTTTCACACCCAAAGGTCGCCGCAGAGGGCGCTTAGCCCTGGGCTAAGCGTTCGCGCATACTTCGTTAGCCCGTGCTAAGGTCTAGACCGCGTCTTAAATTCGGGTCAGATTTAACCCATACTTAGCATTCCTTAGCCCGTGCTAAGCGTTCACGCACGTTTCCTTAGCACGGGCTAAGGAATTTGACCTCTTAGCCCGTGCTAAGGAGCTGTGCGTGAACGCAACTTATAATTGGATAAATTCGGCATATGAAAACACCAAAATCAATGATTTTTTTCAGTGGCTGTGTGAACTTGTGTCTGACACATTCATATGCAAATGACTAATCTGTGAAACAAATAGGGGCGGAGACAAACCACTCAAATGTTCAGAAACATTAATTGTGTGTCAGATAGCTACTGATAACACATCCTAACAATGCTTTGTCTTGAGTTTATCTTTGAAACTTATAGGCACACAGATTAAACCTGTGTTGTTGATTTTGGAAAACACTATTGAGACTGCCTTGCTTCCCTTCAGAAAATCTACATTTTAACCAACTTACATGACATTCTATGTTTATGTTGACTTTATCACATGAAAGTTTATAGTGCATTTCATCAATTAATAAATAATAAATGTGAAAATTTTAATTTTCAACACAAATAATAGTCTCGCTACCTTAAATCAATATTTAAAATAACACACCAAATTTTATTTATATTTTTTCCACCAGGCGACAGTTTCAGACAATGTATATGATGAATGAGAGTACTGATGACAGAAACTATAATGCTCTCTGTCACAGAAATCATATTCTTATTTACAGAACTATTACATGACATAAAAATATAACTATTATAGTTTCTCATCCTACCATCAAGCGTGCAGAAAAGATCAAAAACAATCAGCTGCAAACCAAACCAGAAATCGCATCCATTTATTAACTAAAACTCAGGCAATTTTAAAAATTCTTCTAGAATAAAAAAAAAATACTTCTTTTTTATAACATGCTTGAATTTAATTAATTAGAAGATGTTGAATCAATATTTATGATATATGACAAAAAATGAGATTTATAAATAAATAAATAAACTGTTTTACTGAATATGATACCCAAACCTTATTTTTGATTGAAATTTAAACAAACACATACGTTTAAGTTGACTTTTCCGATATTACCAACACCAGAACGGTTAAATAGGCTTCATTTTTGGCAATTTTAACACTAGGCTGATACAGTTCACTCTTTGATTTGTAATCCAATATTAAAGTCACTGTATATTTAAGAAATTCCTTTAATGGGAAAACTTCCAAGTTAAGACTATAATCTCACAGCAAATTTACTTTCTGGATTAAAATTACAATAGAAAACGAAAGATTAACAGTGTAATCAAAATAAACAACAGTATCCCATAATTCCATAGTGGATTTACGTCTTTCAATTGAAGTGATCATACATGTTCATATATTTATTTTCAATAACATAAAATTGAAAGGAAACTTAAAGCATTTATCCTTCACATATCAATTCAACTTGAGACCAGTCAATGTTTTTGGGGTGAATCAAGGTTGGAGGCTTCGGGGGGGGGGGATTCGGGGGCTGGACAATCTTAAATGAAAAAAGTTTTCTAGTTGAATTGAAGATAAAAAAATAGACTACAACGACCTCACATTCTTTCACTTACAATACAATAAAAATAAAAGTTATCAATGTAAACATAAGGTTTCATTTGTCAAGCCTCCACCCCTGATTTTGAATGGTTTACCTTCACCATATAACACACAGCAGTAGTATTGGTAGGAGTTATGTCTGGGTACAATGCACTGTTGTCTACAAAAATAAAGCAAACAACTAAACAAAAGGCAATACAGTTTAATTGATCAAAGAATGTATACCCTGCTTTTTTGGTTGCAAGCCCTCGTTATGAGAGGTTCACTACGAACACTGAATACTGTCTGACACTGGGGTCATTATCAGCATATTAATTACCTTCAAGGAGACAGTATGGCTATTTATACAACCTCCAATGCATTATTAGTGGTATGTAAACATAAATTTAATGTGACATTGCTCAAAAAACAGAAAATTTGCTCAATGAGTTTAGTCATTATATTCTGGACTTTTTTTTTGTCAGTTACATCAGAAGACATGTATACATATTTTAGTGATGTAGATACATTGATATAACATGTATCTTATTTTACTTCAGTCTGTGAACATTTGGAGATATATTTTGCCAGCTTTGATGTAGAAATACAACATGAAACGAATAAATAACTATGTTGACATTGCAGTACATTTTTATACCAACATTGAACTTTTTAATACAACTAATTTTTCTATAATTTCTTAATTAATTAAAAACAATTGTTCACAATTTTTCAGTGGTCACAGATCTTGATATGATTTTTTTTTAAATCTGGGGAAAATTATTTTGGTTTAGTTTGTGAGAAGTGAC